TTGAAAATGACAGCATGGGAGCTATTCTTTCTAAAAAAATAGAATACAAACTTGCATCTGTTTTGCTCTCCAAACTCACACTGCTCTATGCTTAACAGCAATAAAAATAAATGATGAATTTCATGCCTTCAAAAAAAAATCGTGGTTTTAGAGTATGTCAGAAATGAGATATCTTCACTTTCCTAGAGGACATCAGATTTTTCCAGCAAAAGAAATTCTAGTGAAATGAGATAATTAATCCTCACACTATATTTTCCGGTGCTATTGTCATAAACTGTATTTGCATGCAGTATTTTTTACCTTCTCTTATCTTTTACATTTTAGGCATAATCCACATTTTGCTTCAACATTTGTCCAAGAAGGCACAATTGGAGGCACATTCATTCAAACAAAATATTCTGTGGTGGCATAGAGTAGGAAGAGAGATGATTTTTAAATGAAAGTTTGTCACAAAAAAGCCTCATGAATAAATTCATAAAGTCAGTGTTAATATAGACTCTCTGACCTTCTAAAAATTTCTTAATACTGTAGATTAAGAATTCAATGGACACTTGTGGAAAGAATTTAATTGTGATTCCAACCTTGTTAGGTATGTAAGAGAAATAGAAACAATGGACAGAAAAGACATTACGAACTAGGAGAGGATACATACACATGCAACGTTTGACAGAGGAGAGCTTGTATGTATGTATATGGAAGATAATGAAACCTGCTGCTATTCCATCCAAAAATATGCATCTAAAAAAAAAATGGGCAGAATCTCAAGGGAATAATAAGTAGATACCTTTGGCTTTTCAGCTCTTGACAAATAAGGGCCAATATTTACTTATTCAAGAAAATCTGCTACTGACTTCACTGGTTAACAAGTTTAGGTCTGAGCCCTTATTAATGTGCCCATATAGAATATGTCTTTATTTAATTCTGTATTATTTTTGGTTGCAATGATAATTACACTGTTTCTATAGCTCTGTAGAAAACTTCACTTCAGAAAGCGTGCCATGATATATCACCCACACCAGTACCCCTCAAAAATCGTGCCAAACTGAGACCTGACAAAATTCCACATACATATGTGACTCAGAAGACGTTCTCCATTAACAGGAAGTGATTGGTGCTGCTAATTTAGAAGCACTATAACCACTAAAAACCTAGAATAAATGTTTCAGTTTCTCTGTAGAACCTGCTATGCTTCCTTCACTCAGGAAATGGATCCAGAATTGCTCTTAGTGTTTCAGAGTATGAGATAGATTTGTGGTGTACTATCCCCAAGACTATTTATTTTATAGCTTGTAGTAGCATCCACGTTTGTGTTTTTCTATGCATATGAGACCACTAGTTATATAGATATGGCATGTTAATGAATACAAAAATATTTGCTGTTAATATTAAAAATATAGTTCTTTTCCATTAACATTAGAAGTAAGAAAGACGCAGAAACGGTTTTCAAGTAGTTAAAAAGTAGCAACACCACTGTAGGAGTATATGCATGTGACGTATTGTAAATGTATTAATGAGGGCATGATTAATATGAGCTTGCCTTGAACCTGGACAGGAGCGCACTAAAGCAGGGCAGCCGGCAGGAGCCCCCGAAGC